CAGGGTGTAGAGGATCTTACCAGATCTAGATCTTCCTTTGCAACTGTTTCTATGCTTGCTATCAGTCCACCAAACTTTCTGTTCAAGAAAGTTGCCACTTCTCGATCAGTGTCCTAGCATTGGAGACAAAGTTAAGATTTAAAAGGGTTTTCAGTGAGGTAGATGATTTAAGTATTCTAGGTCTAAAAGAATAGATTCAAAAGTAGCCATATGAAAGGGCTGGACATGGATAAAACATTTACCAGATCATAAAAGGACTAAAAGCACACTCACTTTCTTTGCAAGGATGTAGAAGTAAGGCTTGTAGGGTAATGGTACCTGTCAAATGATAATAAAAGCATTGGTTCAGAGGACTGACCAACTGAGGCCCAGCTAAGACATCATGCTTCTGCCATGCCAAACTGAATACAGGAATTAAGTTTGACAAAAGCACAGCAGAAGCATGGAATCTGAATCAAACTTTTTAACTAAGTTAGAGAGAATTGAGTTCAACCAGCTCTGCCACGCTACATGGCTCTGGCTCAAAAGTGATTCAGATGTCATACCCCTGCCATGCCAAACAGAATTCATAAATCATACTGATGTGATTTGGCCAGATTGCATTACTGCAGGGGAGTCATAAAAATAATTCTTCATTTCAAAATATGCGCCAAGGGCATTTCAGTAAATGCTGAATTTGCACAATGTTGGCCCATAGTCATACCTAATTGCAATCAAGTTCTGCATGGCAGAAGCATGACATCTGAACTGGGCCTTAAACTTGCTCACTTGTGCACTCACCCACTCACTGACTCAAAAACTCATTGATATAGACTCATTGGCTCATTTTCTCACCCACTGACCTACTGACTAATTGAGCAATTGAGTAACCAAATTACTGACTGCCTTAGTGACTGCCTAAATGACTGTGTAACTGACTAACTGACTCCCTGCCTTTTTGACTCACAGATTGACTAACTGACCATTTCTGCATATGGCAGGGTTATCAGGACTATATACCATTTGAGTGTCTGATTGATGGACTGATCGACTAATTGCCTTAATTCACCAATGGATAGATTTATTTATTGGTAATAATGCAGATGAGACCAATAATAAAGGATTTTTGAGTACATTAATCCACACCAAAGGAAAAATTTGAATCTATGTTTACAATGCTATAAAAAGACTTGTGTATCAATGAATTTAAAGCTCCAACACCCCCCTCCCACAATTGCATTCAAATACTATACCCAACCACTGCATTTATGGTCAAATGCTCTCCCAGAGAACATATTTTTTTCACAAAATGGTGAGAAATAAAAGACATGGTGCATTAGCTTTTAGCACCCTTGTTGCCCTTTTTGCTTGCAAGCATTATACTATAATGATATTGACCAGCACAGACAACAGTAAGATGCTCATGGGTTACCTAAAATGGGTATAGGAGATGACAAAGCTGCAAATTGATCAGCGCATCATCAGATTTCATAGTACCCACCCTAAAGCGGCCTCCATCATCTTGAATGAAGTAGAGGTCTACAGCACTTATTAGCTTCTTGTCATCATCAATTACTTCTGTCTACCAAAAAAGACAAAAACAAAAAAACAGGAGTAAATTAAGGATGAGCAACCATTTTTTGGGACAGCGTATCATCGAGTCTTAATACTGAAATACCCCCAGTTTCTTCCTTCTGACTTCACTGCTCTGTGAAACGCACTTATTTTGTTGTCACGTTTTCATTACAACTAACATTATCAACTTGAAGGTTTTCGGAAGGCAAACAAATCCTTACCATAAAGATCAAGGCAGGCTAGAAACGATGTTTCACAATTTCATTTCAAACTTGTCTACTAGTCAGTCAACTTAAGTCGAAAGAAAGTTGGATCACGTTGTACATGTACTTTAAAGTTATGACATTTTTCTATCGTGTCGTCTCTTGCTCTTGGGCAAATGTAATTATCTTGTTTAACTTACTGGATGCATGTTGATAAGCCATCCAAGTCGATCTATTGGCTCCTTGTAACGATCAAATCCATACTTAACATCCAGCGTGTCATTTGTTTGAATCCTGAGGACCCTTGTTTCGGTCGAGCCACCGAAGTCATCAGGTCTAGAGAGTGATCAATCGTAGAAAGTAAAGTTATTTCAGTTTAGTGGATCTCTCGATCGTGAAAAACCGGCAGATACAGAGGCTAACTCACACATAATTCTGATCTGATCTTCGATCGAATGAAACTTTCACGATCCCTATGAGCTACAAAAGAGACAAACTTGAAATGTACAATTATGCCAAATCCAAGATGGAGAACTAACCTTGAACGCGAGCGTGAATTACTGCTATCCTCGCCATCGTCGGCATCTCCTTTCTTTCTTTTACCACTATTCAGAAGAACCATGTTTACGTTTTCAAATTTTGTTAGTGATCAACGAACATTACAGCTACAATCGCGAAAAATTTAGATGAACCCCTCAATGACATTTGAGGACCAGATTGAACTAATTGAGCGAAGTTGACGCATTTTGATAATTTGGCGGGAAACAAGACAGCATATTACGCATATACTTTTAGCATTTCCGCTGTGCACAAAATAAGGTTTGTTTTTCGATTGGTCACGCAATCTAGAAACGTGTGTAACGTCAAAAGTCGGTCGCAGAAGTCAGAATAATGTAAGTTAAATTTTCGCTCTAGAAGGAAGAGAACCTTGTATGTGATCCTTACTTGGGTTCTATATTACGATCAGTCACGAAATCACGATCTCTCATGATGAGTGGTCCAAAATTCCACGGCAATACTCCGGGAATGAACCCAAACGCTCACAAATTTATCGATGGATTCTCGTGTAAAGAGGCCATGGAGGATTCCCTAACATGTCTCACTGACAACAATTATGACAGTAGTAAGTGCGGAGACTACTACAAAGCGTACGAAGATTGCAAGAGGGAATGGTTAAGAGAGAAGAGAAAACAAAACAAAACAAACTTATAAACTGCTAGTTAACCGAAGGCTATCAACAATCAGTTAGAATTAAAGCCTTCTGAAGTACTTTGGAATTTCAAATTATAGTTTCCTTGGTCAAGAAAACACCTTCTCCAAGAGAACATCTGCCTCACGCTGAAAAGGTATTCAACAAAAGCAGGGTGAGTAATTTCAGTGACGAATGTTGGCCCTAACAAGAGCATTGCGTGACTATCGAAGACTGCTGCATGATCACGCACTTTTGATACTTTTAGAAGTCACGCGACATTAACGTTCCAAGCTGCGCGCGACGAATGTAAAGCCGTTATGTTTTTCTCGTACGAGAATAAACCACGATTGCCGTATTAACTTCACCAGGAGTGGATCAGAGGCTAGAAATACGGTATAAAACGTAGAAAAGATGTTGCCAGGATATTTTACGTTTAATATATGCAAACAGTCTATAATTGTCCAAATAAGTAGAATAGGATGCGTAGTTCATCACTTACAGTCACTCTGTTTATACGTGTAAAATAGGAAATTCAATGTTGATTTAGTGCTACAGAGTAAAAGAGTGAGATTGAAAAATGAAGACAAAAAAAAAAAAGGCAAAAACACGAGATATCATGTGCGGTGACCCATCTTGGTATTGATTTTAGACATGGTCTGCCTGCGGATCTGGGGCATACCACGTAATAAATAAGTTAACACACTTTTAACGTTTGTAGCCAATGATTAGCTGATGGAGTGGTTTCACAAATATTATGGTCAAAAGAATAAAGGAAACGATCACCAATTAAAGAGGCTCTTGATCGCCTAAACAATTCTCTTTGACAGCACCGTAGGAAATGTACAGAGAACAGTATGGAGAATATGCATACTGATGTTAGGGCGTAAACGATTCACGACTCAAGTTCTTTACTCATATTTATGCTAATAACTTTTTCCTTCAAGTTTTTTTTTGATAGAGTAACGACGATTTTTTCATCAATGGATGTTTCCTTTGAGCGGACATCTCAAAGGGGTTAACTTTTGATTTCCAATATTAATATTTTAGAGAAAATGACATATTTTAGATCATCTTCAGCTCACAAAGGAAATAAAATATACCTTCTTTGTCTCCAAACTGATTTTCGATCAAACTCAGTTTTAACAATCCGTTATAATAGGTCAGATCAAAAGGGAAGAGATTTTAAAAGAGTTGAATAAGAAGCCAATAACAATACAAATTGTCGTTATAACAGACCGAAAAGTAATGTATACCATCATTGCGCGACTGGGTCTGAGATTAAACAGATAAAAATAGTTTTTTTTTTTTTTATCAAGTATTTATTAGATTCTACAGAGGCTTATAACTTAGTTTATATGCTTTAGGATTCCACGAGTATTGGTTTCATATCAGTGTTGGTTTTGAATATCTCTTAAGGGCAGTTAAGTTTCATTTTCGATTACTCACAATGTCCATTAAAATAAACTCTATCTGAGATCATACCAACACTGGTAATTTCACGTGTCCAGTTGCAAAAGCTATTTGAGGGAAAGAAAATAATAAGTCTTTTTTTCTACGTTGTTTTTCTTAGCTGAGCCAGTGCCTTCTCCATTTGTTCATGGCTAACACTTCTTCCTGCCAAAATTTTCTATTTTCTTCAGATTCCTTGCGGACTCTTTCTAGCATCACTAAATGATCTTCCTCTGGAACCATTTTCTCTTCTTCTTTGGGTTCTTCTTCGCTATCGGCAGATTCCTCTGAAATGATAGAAAGAAAAAAAAATCTTGAAAAATGTTGCTAAGAAACGCAAAATTGGTGAGGGGAGTTTCTGCGATGTTAAAATTTGCTAGGGGATGAGAGACTTGGTTTGTTAAGCTTTGAGTTCAATCCACATATTCAAAACTCGTCGTGTGGTCGACAAGAAAAGGTACATAATGCAAACTGAAACAGCCAAAGAGAAACCAGCTGTGTGAAAAATTCCATTTCTGGAAACGTTAAAGGTTGATCAGACCATTAATTATGTTTACTAACAGTCAAGAAAAGGGACAGGTGACGTCACTCGCGCAGGCGCAATATCAGCCACGTTGCAGGTTCACAATGAAATATTAATTGTTGGACATTTCGTGTTCAGGACGTGATCTTTATGCGCGGTGAGACGAACTTACGAGGATCGATCAGCCAAAGGAGAGATACGCCATGGGGAACACTCTGACAAGATTATTCAAACGGCTCTTTGGTAAAGAAGAAGTCCGAATATTAATGGTCGGACTAGATGCTGCGGGAAAAACGACGATTTTATATCAGCTGAAACTCGACGAACCTGTCACCACAATACCGACGATTGGATTCAACGTCGAGACAGTCGAATACAAAAACATCAGTTTTACTGTGTGGGATATCGGAGGGCAAGACAAAATTCGTGTTCTGTGGAGGCTGTATTACCAAGAAACCCAGGGACTTATTTTTGTTGTAGATAGCAGCGATAGGAATCGTGTCGCGGAAGCGAAAAATGAGTTGTTCCGTCTTCTAGCCGAGGACGAACTTCAGGACGCTGTTCTTTTGGTCTTTGCAAATAAGCAAGATTTACCCAACGCCATGTCCACCGCGGAGTTAAGCGATAAATTAGGGCTTCACAGTCTCAAGGGAAGAAACTGGTACATTCAGGCCACCTGTGCGCTTAAGGGAAAGGGTCTCTACGAGGGTTTGGAATGGCTTTCTCAACAGATTCGAGAACAACAAATCAAATTTACATAAAGGTGCTGGTTGGGGCTTTTTCTCTAATAAAAGGAACCCGCTTTGAAGCTGTTCAACAACGGTTCGGGAGGAGAATAACCGAGAAACGATCTCGTCTCGGTGTTCAGAAATAATGGAAAGAAGGCCAAGATTCAGCTGGAAAGATGTTTGAATAGAGAGGAAAGAGGTGAATAACTGCCAGTGATCGCGTGGGAAATTCAATGAATCACAGTGCCAACGCATCACAAAGAGGGTCATCACAAAGAGGGTTCATCTTTGTTTTCGTGCATCTAAAGAGCTCCAAGGCGTGTCAGTGTGGCTAAACAAAACCCTGCGACAATCAACACTCCAGGCTTGGAATTTTTTTACGTAAACCTAGATCATTTATTTAAATGGAATCGTTTTCATTTATGATACAAGCCGAGTTATAAATATGTTTCCGATGGTCTAATTCACCAAAAATTGTGTAACTATGCATATGAATCTTTCTTACAAATTTTCCATTGTCTATCAACAGCTATGTCAACTAACAAAGTGGACTGTTCAAAACTAGAGTGTTAAAATGTTGGTCGGTAATAAAAGCTTCCCGGCAAGATAAAACGAATTCATGATTTAAGCTTTGATGTGAAATTCTATGCTGGAAATATAAAAGAAAGTTGTTATGATATCCGTTTGTTGCCAGGATTCAGAATAAAGTGATAAGTATGTATTCGAATTATTATTCAGATTATAACTATTATTAATTTTGTTTATTCTGAAAATAAAATCACAATGGTAGGTAGTAGAGCGTCAGTTTTCCTTCTTGTTTAGTCAAACAGAACCCTTTATTGATATGCACAGGTCATTGGGTGGACTGGTTTGGGCGATTGGTTACACCCGTAGACCAAAACGCCAAGGAATAAATGTAACAATGTGCTCACCAGCCTAATGGGATTATCGCAAGTGTTGGAAACTACTATGATCGGAGCAAATGTACATGCTTGGGTCTCATTCTAATATCAGATAGGTTTCCTGCTGTAGCTATGACGAAGAGTAAAATCCAAGAATTCTATCTTACTGCCAAAAAACTGAACGAGATACGCTCCGAAAGTTTTTTTGTATTTTGGTCACTTTTTGTGTCTGCAGATAAAATTGTTACTCTCTCGTGAATTTCCACCGGTACGTCTGATCTTTCTCACCAGCAACATCTGGTCAGAAGGGAAGGGTTTTTTTTTTTTTTACCTATCATCCACGCAGTAAATACGACACTGAGTGCATTGGTGAGTGCTGGGTTCTAAATCAAGGCTGGTTGCTTACTTTATCAAATTAATTATATCAAAACAGAGGAACAAAACGGAATTGTGCGATTTTTTCCAATCACCGAATAAAAGCAACGAGGCAATGAAAAAAAATTCCCACAATTTTTGTTTGTGTTGAGTTACATATTACTGTGGCAGGCTCTTGCAGCAGATGTTTTTGTTTTGTCTTCTTTAATTTTCAGTTTTCTTTTTAAAAAATGCAATGGACTGGAAAGACCTATTTCATCATAAAGGCAGGCGTGTATGCCATTCACTTGTGCGCATGCAAAGGAATATTCTTATGGTGCATATAAATAAGCCTTCTCGTCCGTCCTTTCGAGTAGAAATTCTATCGATATTGTACGTGTTGACGAGGCTAAGAAAGCTTTAATAAAATATTTTGGTTTTATCAGCTGATTTGACAACATAAATTGACCACCGTAAAGAGTTTCTAAGCTGACGTTTTGAGCGTTAGCTCTTCGTCAGAGCGAATGGATATAGGAAGGCTATAATTTTGTTGTACTTAAGACAAAAAAAAATTAGACCTGCCATTTATCAAAATGGGCCAACTGATCTGGGAAGAGTAGCAATACTTCAAGGTGCGTCATGCTTTGGAAACTTATGATATATAGATATGCTCCTTCCGAGCTGGGCTTCTTAGCCCGCAAAACCTTTTCCTGACTTGGAGAAAATCGACAGTAACTTCGTTCCCAGGGCCCCATTTTTCCTTGAAATGTGAAAAGAGCCTTGGGAACGAGATTGAATTTGTGAAGCTTAGTGGACGAGACTAGTTGGTTCTTTAGAAAGTAATTTAGTGTTAACAACTGGGTTGAAAACGTAAATTAGCCACCGTAAAGGGTAAAAAAGCTGACGTTTCGAGCGTTAGCCCTTCGTCAGAGCGACAGAGGTTCTTTAGAAAGCTTCGTCATGTAGGACCTGATGACAATCCACGGATATATATAGATATGTAGTACTAAATGCAATGATAAGAACAACAATTTAACAAAAAAGAAAAAAAGCCAACAATAAACCTTTGGTATGGGACCGGTCATTATTTCATTATCGCCTGAAGCGGTCGAACAATTTTGGTTGTGTCACAGCTAAATTTAACTGATCTCCACCATAGACCCTGTAGTATTTTAATGATACCTCTCCTTGGTAGACGATTTTGTATAGTCTCCCCTTCTTTCTATACCCTGTTAGCGACGAT